GGGGCCACGCAGTGGCGTTCACTCCCGCTCGTTTCATTCATAACACGTGAAATACGGAGACAGTTTCATAACCGATCACATGCATCACGGTGTGCGTATGGCGTTACAGGGCGTGGCGGGGTGGGGCGGGCCGTTGCATGGCGTTTGCAGGGCGTAGCCGGACGTGGCGGGGCGTGGTCGGGTCGGGTGTGGTTGGTATATACGTACCACGGTTGTTACCTTTCGCTGCGGTGTGGCTGAAGTCGAACAGCGGTATAGAGTACATTCGCGGATACGGCGGGCGAGTCCGTATGACGCAACACGGCTGTGTGTGTGTGTGTGTAGGTGTGTGTGTGTGTGTTTGTGACCATGCAGGTCAGCCGATAGCGATAAAGTCAGCCACAAAGCAGCGCTGCCAGTCACAGGTAGAATCAAATTTGTTCGCGTTTTCCGAGTGTGTCTGGCCATCTTTGAGGTACAGGTTTTGAGCTACGCCACTCCCCTTCAACTTCAATTGGTTACTTGTCAATATCAACCCTGAAAATTTGAAATTGCTACAACTTCAATCCGTGTTTCCGATATCGCGTTTGACGGTTTCGATCAGAAAGTGAAAGTTAAACGAGCACGTCTAAGTTTCGAGGAGAAAATGTTACCTGAACAATTGAAGGCTCCACTGTTATGCTCCATAAACTTTGTCTTTTCTGAGGAACTCATTGTGCTAAAAACTGACACTGAAATGCCGAAATCCCTCGCTTTAATTTTCCCGCGCGAACGTACTCATGAGAGGACTGTTATTGCCCGCGAGCTGGCCGGGTGCCGCCCCCTCGCCAAATAGGCGGAAGTTTCAACTGCGCGCCCCGCGCGCTGCTGCCGAATCCCACTTCCGGCGGAGTGGAGATAGGAGACGGGGTGAAACTATCGGCAAGTGGATGGCACCGCGCCGCGGGGGGTAGAGAGAGAGGAGAGGGATTGGACGTGGGGGGGGGGGGGGCTGCAGCGCGTCCTGTTTCCTCTTCCCACCTCCGGTGTGTCGGCAACTTCAATCACGCCGCCCGCGATGATTCCGCCCAGCCGAACCACGCTCCTTTCCTTCTGTATTGGAAGTCTCCCTTTGCACCCCCTTGTCTGTCTTGGTACTTCAAAATGTCTCTCTCTCTCTCTCTCTCTGTCTCTCTCTCTCTCTCTCTCGCTCTCTCTCTGTCTCTCTCTCCTATGATCATCCACTCGCGGCCTTGCCCTCCGCTTTTGTTTCGAGATGTTGTTGTCTTTTATGAGAGCGCGCGCGTGCTGCGCTGTGGCCAGAAGGGAAAGGGGGGAGACGGCAGCCAGAAAGTTGCTCTGCAAGACTTTTGGGTCTCTGTCTGTCTGTCTGTCTGTCTTTCTGTCTGTCTGTCTGTCTGTCCGTCTATCCGTCTATCCGTCTATCCGTCTATCCGTCTATCCGTCTATCCGTCTAGCCGTCTATCCGTCTAGCCGTCTGTCCGTCGGTCCGTCGGATCGTCGGTCCGTCTGTCCGTCTGTCCGTCGGTCCGTCTTCCCGTCTGTCTGTCTTTCTATATTTCTGTCTGCCCGTCTATCTGTCTGGGCCAGTCTATCTGTCTGTCTGTCGTCCGTCCGTGTGTGTGTGTCTGTCTACCTGTGTATCCACCCCTTCCCCCCTTCTCCTAGCTTTCGCTCTTAGCCTAGGTACAACTTGTACCTCCTGCCTGACAGACATCTGATGGAGATGTGCACAAGGACACATTATCTCACTGAGTTACGGAAATAGTCCCTTCCTTAGAGGAATGGTCCTTGTAAGGGTGTAAGGGTGTAAGTGTAGGCAGAGAGACACGAGCGCGTTCACACACATCATAGCATAGCACGCAGATATTCTTCTTCATTTTACCAATGATGTTGCTACACGCAGATAAAAAATTCATGGATTTGCTAAGTTTTTAGCACCGGAGCTAAAAAATTACCTGAAAAACACTCAGATAATTTATTTAGCACCAGGGCTGTTTTTAGCCATCCAGGAAACCGGGCCGTTAATTAACAGAGTAGCTAATGCCACTAACAAGCTGTAGAACTAAATATTTTTACATCCCGTTATTTTTTTATTTTTTTTGCACGGGTGTAAAGTTATGCAATTAATCCGATTTGCACGGAACTGAATTTCATTTTTTTGCATGTATGTTGTGATGTTATAATAAAGTAATAGGAAGACCATCGTAAGAAATATACAAGGTTTTAGATAGAATGATCATATAGAAAATTATATATTATAGCGATGATTATAAGTGAATATGGGGTCGCGTGCATTTGATTATACGAGTTGTCCCCTTGCCTGGAATATAGAGCTCCGGGATAGTTCGAAGAACGATTATTCCAACAAACGCTCGCTCCAGGGCTCAAGTGAACCGGTTTCGGATGCGCTGAGGAACACCCTTATAAGAACACCCCCTTTGAACACCCTCACGACGGCCCCACTTGGGGCTGCTGAGGGAGGGGCGCTCCTTACACCTCAACCTGACCGGCTGAGTCATGGGAATTTTACAGGAGCTTTTGGCAACGCAGCCAACCTGGCCTAGGAGCAGGTCAGGGTGGGGCGAGGCGAGGCGAGGTGGGGCGGTCACACATCCCCTGTATTGGCCCCCCGAGGACCTATAACTACTCCTGGCGTGGAGGCCTGGCCGTTCCTTACAGACCCCCTCCATCCTCCCTCACTTTTCCTCATCCCCTCCTTCACCTCCTCTGTTCCTTTTCTACTCCCCATCCCGACCAGGCGCAAGGTCTCTTGCAGCGCTTGGAGCGGCTGTGCGACGACACGAGAAAAAGAAGGAGAAAACCGAAGAACAACCAACAAGGGAAATAGTATTTCTGCTGCGAGAGGAGAAAGGGACAAGGGGATAATACCTTCGGCAGAGTCTCCTCCGCGTGACGTCTCCCTGTGAGATGCTGCTCCTCGTAATGCACTCTCTATTATGCCTGACTGACTGAGCTGCAGAGGTGGGGCCGCTGCAAGCAAGCACTGTTATTCTGATACCGTGACGTCTTATGCACTAAATCCTTATGCACTTTGTTGTGCATAAGACTTGCAGGATTTCATGCAGCCATAACATTATGCACAATTTTATGCATAACTATGTGGAGGTGGGGGTGGTGGTACTTTTCATCATTACAGGTCATCTACAGGTGTGAGTGAAATGTATCGTCCATTTACAAACATATTTTTCACAGTGTTTATGAACTCCTTATATGTTTCTATTATCACAATTCTGCTTAGAACGGTTATTTTCATTTGATAAATGCACTGTGCCTTTCACTTTTGATGCAGGGGCTTGCCTCTGGAACAACCGACCAGGCTTTACCGCGGCTCGTCTGACGTGGCTCGCCTCCCATACTCTTAGGCGCCTGCTCGCGGCCGGCTGCATCCTGAGGATGCTCTCGGCAGCCGCACACGCTGAATGTAGCCGGGTGAGAGGGGGAGGGGCGCTTCTCTCTCTGTCCGGGGCTGCTCTAAAAGAAAGGGCATGGCCTAATAGGTAACAATGGGGCGGGCGCGGCCGCTATGGCGGAAGGGGCCGCCCCCGCAGCCGCCCCCGCAGCCGCCCCCGGCACCGCGGACCTGGTGGTGGCGGTGGAGGGTCTGTTAAACATGCACCACAATGGTGGGGCCCGTGGGCGTGGCGGGCTCTGTTTAACCACACTGCTTTGATCCCCTCCTCTCTTTTGCAGTGGAGTGGAACGGTGATAAGCGCAGCGCTTAGCCCCGTCTGGGACGCGCCCCCCGCGCTGTTCTTTACGATGAAGTGAGGAGGAGAAGGCGGCAAGGAGTGTCCGCCGACGTCTCTAAACAGCGTCGTGTCGAACGCGTCACCTTTCACGCACGACGGGGTTCGACAGCGCTCCCGTTTCACCGCTTGCCGTGAATAGCGCATGAATGCTACACAGTTTTGTCGTGTGTGACACGAACATCACGCGCTCGTGTATGTGAGAGATGCATTCTGTTGGTACAGTTCTACTAGCCTGAGCTGCTCGCTGCAGTGTCAAACAACTTTATTTTTGCGCAAAGGAAATTACTCGACACATTCCCGGACTAAATTTCACCTTTGATTCTCTCTTCCCTCGCTGCACAACGTGGTACGTCTAAGATCGCATTCGCGAATGCACAATTTATCTCAAAAGGACAGAAATTTGAAGATAATATTGAGCGGTTTCCCCCTCGCAGATTTTCCTTGTAGCCGGTGAGTGCTTACCTGTGCCGGCGGTGGGAGCCAGCAGGCAGAGCAGCACGGCCCAGCAGGCCGCGAGCGCGGGCGCCGCTCTAACGGGGGCCCCCATGCGGCGCGGGGCGCCCTGCGCGGGCCTCGACTGCAGCGCTGCGCCTGCGAAAGAAAAAAAAAAACAGTTTGTTAAAACAAAATTAATGATGATAATAATGGAGAATAATACCGTATAATT